CAGTCACTGGTAATTTGAAAATATTTAATGAATTACCTACTTTTAAATTTTAACAAATGTAAGACTATAAAAAAAATAAAAATATATAAATACCAAATGATACCTCTAATCGTATCATTTTTGATAAAATGAAATTATTTAAATTACTTTGAAAAAATACATATAAAAATTTACCTGTTAACAATCTCAGTAAGCTGTTCTCCAAATCCCATTTCAAATAGTCTGTCTGCTTCATCAAATACAACATATTCAATACTTTTTAATTTTAGATCCATCTCTATGCAGACATGTAAAAATCTGCCTGGAGTAGCTACTATAACATCTGGATTACCATGAATAGACGAAAATTGTTCTTCCATTGAATCTCCTCCTAGGACAACTGCTGCTTTTAATCCAGTAAATTTTCCCAGTTCTTTAATAAATTTAAACGTCTACAACAAACACTTATGTATATTAACAATTTATAATTTTGTATACCCCCCTTACTTGTAAAACTAGCTCCCTTGTAGGTGAAAGTATAAGTGCTCTGGCACCTGCTTTAGCAATTCGCATTTTAAGTTTTTCAAAGAGAGGAATTAAGAAACATGCTGTTTTACCACTTCCAGTTCGAGCCATAGCAACAACATCGCGTCCTTCCATTACGAGCGGTATAGACTGTAAAATTTAATATGAACTGTTTGAAACATTAATAATTGTGCATATTACTTTTCGTTGAATTGGTGTTGGTACTTTATAACCACGTTTTGTTATTCCTTTTAAAACGTTAAAACTTAAACCCATTGTTTGAAATCCTCCACCTTTCTTAGATTTTTTTTTAACCGTATCATTTTGTAGGTCTTCGGAAACTTTAAACGTATCCAAATTTTCGAAGCCTGGTAAAACACTGTCCATTTCAGAGGTATTTATGAATTTTTCACTATCTTGTAGACAGCTATACATATAACCTACATAACCCTACATAACCTCTAATATTCCAAGTGAATATCTATGCCATAGATAATAGATCTACAAACGGATTTATAACAGTATATACCCTTTGTGTATCTATTATCTATGTATTTCATTAATCTATGATGACCACAACACATGTTTTTGTTGGATATTTGTTATACATCAAAGAGATTAATAATAAAATCGAATAAATCATTTATTATTTACATAATTAGTGGAAATAAGGAAGATGCAGGAAAAAAATAAAGAGCGTGAAAGTCTCGGAGAAAAAATTGCGGAAATTTTAACTCCAGTACCCACAATTTTTGATCCTGAAGATGACGTAAACGAAGAAACCGTTGCAAAGGTAGTAGAAAACGTTTTTGAAGATGAAGATAAAAATGAAAATATCGGTGAAAAACTGGGCAAAATTAGACAGAGTTTCAACTTTCTAGAAGATGTTGATAAACGTTACACAGGAACTAAAAGTAGTAGAAAGAACATTGAAAATGAATCTAGTTTTAGTGGTTCAGAGGATTTAAATGGTAAGTACCTATTGAAAAAAGAATAATAAATGTAAACAGTATTGTTTTGTTTTAGATGACAATAAAGAAATAAGTGAAGAAAGCTTTGAAGAACAAACTTCAATTGATGAAGACAGTGAAGAAGAAGACCAAGATTCTGAAACTGAAGACAACAAAAGTGAAGTATCTGAAGATGAAAGTAAAAGTAACTTTAAGCATATTAATGATATTAATATGAAAACTCAAGTTTCAAAAGGAACAAGTGTTTGTAATCAATTAAACATCTGGGAAAGTTTAATGGAGTTAAGAATTCAAATGCAAAAATGTTTGATAGCATCAAACAAGATGCCTCAGAAAGATCATTTTGAAGAAATCAAACAGCAAAGTGGATCTGACTTTGCAAATAAAGTTTCAGATACAAAAAATACAATAATTAAAACATTAGATAAACTATTACAATTACAAAAAGTTTTATTAAAGCAGTATCCTGAAACTAATAATTTAGATAAGAAGAAAAAACAAATTGTACAAACTGAAGATGGTGATGAAGAAATTCCTAGTGATACTGAAGATGAGCATTTTGAAAACAGTGATGAAGAACAAGAAGAAAGTCCTAGAAAAAAAATGAAACTGGGTGATTATGAAAAAGAAATCAGTAAAACACATGAGTTATATAGGAACTATCGAAATGCCGTTATACAAAAGTGGAATGAGAAAACTAAAATAGCTTCTGTAAAGCATATAGTTCCAGTTTATTCAGTTGTTGACCAAATTCAACACATTTTGATGGATCGAGAGAAATTAATTAAGAGAAGTCAGCTGAAGAAATCTAAATATGAAATTTTGGGTTTTAAACCTATGGAAAAAGATATAATTCCAAATTTAGAAGAAAGTAATCAATCACAAGTTGCAGATGAATATAATAATAACATTTTTGATGACGATGACTTTTATTATCACTTGTTAAGGGAGTTGATTGAATATAAGTCTGCAGATGTAAATAATCCTACACAATTAGGACAGCGATGGATTCATTTACAAAATTTAAGAAGCAAAATGAAAAGAAAAGTTGATACAAGAGCTACAAAAGGAAGAAAAGTGAGATACACTGTTCATTCTAAATTAGTCAATTTTATGGCCCCAATAGATGAAGAATTGATTACTGATGAAGCTAAAAATGAACTATTTGGTTCATTGTTTGGAAAAAAGCAATTTTTTGGAAAATAAAGCATTTTAAAACATATTTGTAGTTCTTTTTCAGAAAAAAATAATAAAATTAGTAATTTCTGAGATTCATTTTAAAAAAGTTGAAAAATTACAACTTTTGAACGTACTAAAAAACAGAGCTTTTTATAAACAATTGCCAATAATTATCGATAAGCAGTCACTGGTAATTTGAAAATTCACCCCAAATTTGAAAAACGAGGGGTATATTTGTACGAGTGTATACATTAACCACCAAACAATTGATTCCATAGACACGACTAACCAAAACATTTGTTTGTAGGTTAGTTTATTATGTAATGTGTTATTTATACAGTTATTCGTGTTGTAAATAAATTATTTAACATAAAATAGCAAAAATTGTCAGTTAAGAGTAAATGCCAATTAGCAGTTTTACTGCTGCATCTATCGTAAGTATTTTAATTTATCCTTTTTCGTTTTTTTGTTTAATACTCAATTAACAGGAAAAGAAGAAACTTTTAGATTGTGTTTCTGCAACTACAGACAATGGAAAAACTGTGATAGATAGCAAGCTATTAAATATCGAACCAGCTCTACCATCAAGGCAAACTGCTAAAAGATTGTTGAAAAAGTCTCACAGTACTTTATCTTCTTATGTAGAAAAAAATCAAAATGCTAATTGGACATCCAATGAAACTAATTTTAATAACTGCACAGATGGCTCAGTACGTGTATCACGGACTACTAAAGAAAAGGAAGAAAATCCAGACCGAATATGTTTAGATAGAAAAGGCCTAACCGTCATTCCCTTTATAGAAGATGAACCCAAATTAAGACTGTTGTCATTACAGCACAATTTAATAAATAGTTTGGAAACCTTTAAATTACAAAACTTCCCAAATTTAGTATTTTTAGATATTTATGATAATCAGTTAGACAAGATAAACGGACTAGATATGTTCACAAATTTGAGGGTGTTGTTAATGGGAAAAAATAGGTAAAACTAAGTCTTTTTTCTAATCGTGGTATTAATTGAAGTTATTTTTTAGAATAAAAAGAATGGAAGGATTAACAAATTTAACTAAATTGGAAGTGCTGGACCTACATGGCAATAAAATAACCCACATAGCAGGTTTGACAAAACTCACCCAACTAAAAGTTTTGAATTTAGCTGGAAATCAAATTCGGATAGTAGCAGTAAGTGATTTAGAAGGTTTATCTTCATTGCAAGAGTTAAACTTGAAAAGAAATAGATTAAAGAAACTTCTTGGATTTTCACACACTCCAAAGCTATTGAAATTGCTTTTAAATGGCAATGACTTACAAGAGTAAGCATAACTATTTTGTTTAATAAATGTTTCCTTCTCATATAAAAAATTGTAATTTAATTAGTACATTTTGTTATTTGTAGTATTGATGATATGTGTAGTTTAGCTAAAGCTACAAATATCAGAGAAATATCAGTTGACAATAATCCAATATCTTTAGCTGGTGATTGTGTTTCTTTTCTGGTTTCTTACCTTCCACATCTTATATTCATAAATGGAATGCAAATAACTGAACAAGTACGTAAAGCAGCAATGACTTGGCGTCGCAACAAAGAATTTTCAAGTGCAACATTCATGGATTTAACAAGTGATATTAAATCAAATGCTCATCGTGAAGAAGTCATATCAAATGCAAGAACAAATTGGGAGCTGTTACGGTCACAGAGTAAAAATTTGACCACTGGAGCTTGTATATCTAGTATAGCAACAAAATTACTTAAGCCCGACCCCGATTTCATTCTTANGTGTCCCACGACACCACACAGCTTGTTTATTTATTTATTTATAACAATTTACGGGCAGTGACTCAATTTATGATAAGGTGTTTAGTAATATAAATATACATAAAAATAGGACAACATTGTAATGCTACGTTCATTAATTAAAGAATGACGATTTCGGAAAATACCTTGAAACACACAAGCTACGTAATATAGATATGAATACAGATAGATTGAAAAGTGGGTATATTAATAAAAAAAGTTCTTAGGCACGTCCTAAGTTCCTAAGTAGCTAGAGTTTAGTTGCATTTATTTCGTTATTCATTAATTTGTAGATGTTGTAAGCCCTCATCTTCGCTCGCATTATACCTTCTATATCGTCTGCACATCAAAATTAGGAGATTTATATAACTTGGATCAATTTTTTTCATTAGTATCTCTTACTTATCATTACAAATATAAACAATAATAAACAATTGCAGCAACTACAACAGTATTATTAGAATGAAAATTATATTACCACTACAGATAGGTAAAAAATTCGGTAGCAAAGATAGTTTTATTAAAGCTATTCAACTTTACAATAATCTTCCAAATAACCTTAAGACACTTAGTTGCTCTATGTGTCTTAAATTTAAATTAAGAAAATGGTTAATATCAGAAAATATATTACACCTTTTCATTAGAACATCGAAAATTGGACAAATTTTGTGTTATATTTATAAATATTTCTTTACTTCGTATTCTTTGTAGAAAAGCTATAGAGCCGCCCAAAACGGAAGTAAAACTGTCTCATGTGAATTTAACGAATGCAGAAACAGTTAGTAACTTATCATCGAATACATCAAATTCTGGCAGTGGGGCTGCAGCAAGTTCACACTCGAGTAGTAATTTTAGTAAGCGGTCAACTAGAAAGATACGATCTATAAAAAGTGCCGCCAGCATCAGAACAAATCCGGCAAAACTGAAAAGTAGAGCAGTCACAGCCAAGCCAAAGAAACCGGTCTCACCTCCGCCACACTCTGCAGAAAGGGAAAGAGAACAAGGCAAATATTAATTTTTTTTTCTTTTATTTTTTTAAACTTCCAAAATTTCATTCATAAGGAAAAAAAATAATCAATACAAAGCCGCTTATATGTAAAATTTGCTTTCAATCATAAACCTTCTTATTTGCTTTAGGTGGAGACTATCTTATAGAAATTTGTGGTCGTCATCTTAATATTTTCGGTCAAGGAGCTCTGAGATTTATAGAAAAGCAATGGAACGTTTCCAAAGCCAGGGATGTAACAACAGTTAACTTTAATTATTCTAATTTTAATTCAATTGTCGGTATTTTTGGGAAACTGAAACAGCGGTTTCCAAATATTGAAAATTTCGTTTTCAAAGAAACAAATATACACTGTTTAGGGCAGTTGAATGCGTTAGCGGAAATACAAGGATTTGTCTCACTTTTTATTCACAGTGACGGGAATCCTATTACACAAAAACTTTGGAGAAGTTACGCAGTATTTAGGCTAGTGCATTGGGGATTGAAAAAGATTAATGATAAAGAGGTACATAATGTGAAGTATGATGCACTCATGTAATAAATATTCTTATTACAGAAAGAAGTTAAGTTGTTGTTTCTTTTAGGTTTCTGAAGAAGAAATAAAGGAAGCCAATGAGGAATATCAAAGTCTTAGTGATCTTGTCTTATGGTCCTTACCAGATATACTATTGGAGCCACTTTTAAACAGGTTGCATTTAGATCTGAGTCGAACACAGGGACAGAATGCAAAAAAGTGGCTTCAATCAATTGATCCAGCATTGAAAAGCGTCGTTAGTAAAGAGGCATTACAATGGAAAAAGAATTCACCAACCCATGTAAGCTGCATTTAAGAGACTTCCATTGTATATTAATTTTCTTAAGAATACTATCAAAGAAAATTTGAATTTTCAGGAAGATCTTTTACTGAGACAAAATAGTAAAGCTCATATGGGAAAAATGTTACAAGACACTTGTAGTGCCGTTTATAAATTAAGACAACTTGATCGGCATTGGTCTGATGTGTTTCATGAGGTTGTACGGAACATTGTTCTGGACTATGCTCATTTAGATATGTATATGAAGAAGAAGATGCAAGAAGTACAAGCCAGCGGACTTTCACTGCCATAGTTTGCATGATTTTAGCACCAACATTGAAACAGTACAAAATATCGAGTTAGGTAATAGTTTTAAGATTTAATTAAGTCTGTTGATTACAATTTTTAGATGTTTTGTAAAAAATCTGTAAACTTATTGTACGCTAAGGTGATAACTTTGTTTATTTTTTATTTTATACTCAAAATATACTTTTTTGCACAAATATTTATCGTAGTTCTACTAATTAGTCAACATTTAACCTTTCACGGTAAATACATAAAAGGTACTTAAATATTGAATAAAACGTGGTACATCCTACAAGTTAATATTTTTATTAACGATAAGAGTTAAAATTAATGTAACAATTAGGAATTTATGTTTGGCTAAAAATGAATAAACATCATTTTAATTAAATACATTTTTACGTGTTTACAATAAATTAAAAAACATGGCAATGTAAAGTATCACAGACTAAATCGTTGAATACTAAAAACAAAAAAACTAATTTTTAAATTGCATTTCATTCAGCCTCTATATCCTGCGCGAATGTAACTTCATAAAGAGAGAGACTGAAAAATTGCGAAAACTTAATGAGATAGTTGTAAGTAGGTAAAATCATTTCTTTTTCACACTCTTTAGGTGGCAACGAATCTAAGCAATACATATCAAAATATTCCAATGCCTCAACACTGAAATGAGGATAAAAAAGGCGTACTTTTCTAATTTTAGTGTTGATAACGTTTTCGATCGTTTGTAAGAAAAAACTTTCCAGACCTGTAGGCCAAAGAACAAAAAATTTGCAGTCCTGAACATATTTTCCTTGACTGCGAAGGCAGTGATTGTGAACGTGTACTAAAGCTTCTGCAACAGTGGAATAACTTACGGAACCGAGTTCGTGCAAATACACTTTTCGATAACTTATTTCTTTAAAATCCGTAAACGAGAATGAACGACGAGGTTTCTGAAGAAACAACGAGTAAGGAATATTATAAGTGTAACACGTAAGCAAATGGTACTGTGTCAATGGTTTTTTCAACATTTCATTAAAACTTAGAGGCACTTGAACGACACCTCCTTGATGTATTAAACCAAAGAATATAAAACATACTAAGTTAGTAAAAATCCAGATTTTTAGCAATGAATGTGACGATTTTTTCTTCTTGGGTGAACTTTTGTTTAATTTTTTATTTTCATGTTTTTCGATTATAGCAAGTTCTGGCTCCTTTAGTATACTAGGACCGTGTAAATACACTAATGGAAGTAGTAGTGGAATCAAAAACCGAGCTTCTTGGTGTGGAATAACAGAAAAAATAGCCAATGCTATTAAGGTACTCGCAGTCATAAGTGCCTTTATCGTTTTAATTTGCGGCAAATGATTTAGACGAGCTTCATATATTCTGTAAAACAAAGTTAATTGTATTAAAAAAAATGAATCACAAAATACATTAAAAAAATTAAGCGTAGCAGGTGGTAACTTTTAACTAAAATAACCATACAATCAAGTGCAAATTTAACTCAGAAGTACGAAAACATTTAATTACCTTTTGAGAGCTACTAAAATCTCATAAAATGCCAGGAATCCTAATACATTAAAAAGAAGTGGAATGTTACATAGCATATGCAAATAGCGTGGATGTAGTCCATGTTGTGCTAAATTTTTGTTATCTGCATTGTACTTTATGAAATTTAAAGGGGTAACGACGAAACTATTTATTGAAACGTCCATCATTCCGATTTCGCCCCATGATATATAGCCATAATAAAAAGAATCAAATATTATCAGGAATATAAATGACGGAAGGGTGCACAAGGCAAATATTAAAATCCTAATATTGAAATGTAAGGAAATAACAGGCTTTGATCCCATCCCTCTGTACAACCAAAAGAATACAGGACCAGCCGCAAAGGCGATAAATGTTGGTCGATTAAAGAAGCCCACAACTGTAATTGTTGCAACTATAAAACAATTTCGAAAAGAGAAATTTGGCAGTAGAAGTTTTAATTTATGAAATTTTGCCTTTTCAGCTGCTG